CTGCGCCCAAGGCTTCGCAGGCGGCCTTGGCTGAGGCCAAGCTGCCGTAGGCCGCTTGGTTGGCGCCGGTGGGCAAGTCCTAGAGAGGCATGAGAACTCAGGACCATGCGAGTGGGGGAGTCCACAAGGGCAAAAATAGCTTGATTGCATAGCGGTTAAGGAATTCAAGATAGAAACAGCGTCAAACGGGCATTTGAACACTGGGATCACTCAAGCAAGGGCACAAATGGGAAAGAACCAGTAGCGGAGGCCTCGGAAAACCGAGATGCGGCCGCCCGGAACTCCGCGGAGTTCCGCGGGGAGGATGGTCCTCCGGGTCCACTGCATGTATGCTTCGCCTGCTTCAGGCGTCTTCAGGGCGATACAGTTCGCCCGTCCGTCGGGCGATACGAACAGTGCCTTCACCCGAAATCACGGTGGTGCGTGAGCTCTTCGAGCGCGTTCTGGACGTTCTGCGTTCTGGAGATCGACATCTGAAACACTCGATGTCGATCACGACATGAAGAACTGTCGTGACATGACATGCTGCCCCCGGACCCATGTGTCCTGATCAAAGCAAGGTCAGGGCACAGCAGCTGCACCGCTACAAGCAGCACACACCACAGCAGAATACGATCAATTGAGAGGTCCTCCGCCCTGGCTAGAGTATATATATATATATATATATAGAACTCATTTGACCAGGGTTGAAGTTGCGAAGAGACGCGTCTCGTGACAGCCCCATGTCTCCCCAATGCAGGCCAGACCATCCATGTATGACCTATATGTACGATATTTTGCGATAAATGGCCTACATTGGGGTGGGGTGGTTGGAGGGGGTCAATGGGGCGGTATCAATTCCAGTCCCGTGGATAGTTATGGGCAGAGACGTCAGTTCACCCAGCCGTCTCGGAGAGTCCGCCTACACCAGCGGCAAGCGATACACCCTGACAAACATAGAATGGCATGGCCATGCATATGCATGGCCTGGAAAGACGACTTTCCGAATACAAACAGGGGGTGACGAGTTCACGTCTGTTAGCGTGTCATGGCGTGACGAAACAAGTCAACACAACCAAAAAAATGATCTCCAAAAGAACACCTTCAGACTTAGGAACATAGACCCTTTGCAAAGCATCTTAGGAAAAATTAGACCCTTTGCAAAGCATTCATCATGTTCGACCATGCATATACCCCTTGACTCCAGTTTTTTTGCTTTTCAACGGAGAGGACGCCCAGCCCATACCCGGCGGTGCGTGCTGGTCCTGATCAATCATGATGTGCTCGTTTGGTACGAAGACATTGCCTGTGCGGAACGAGGACAGTGCGGTGAAGGGGATGGTGGGACGTTGAAGGAGCAGAGGTTGAAGAACCCTATAGACTATCCTATAGGTACCCCTGTAGGGTCCTATAAGGTCACTTAACCTCTGTAGGTAAGGAGCTGATGGAAATTTCGGTGAAATGCTGCCAGGAAAAATCTCGTCCAAGGGATTGGATCCGCTTCCTTGTTTCCTATGGCGACCTTTTTTTTTCTGCGCTTTGGTTGAAGCAAATCAAAGCCCAAGTGTTCGTCTGAAGTCCGGGTTTGCTTCAAAGCCCTCACAAAGCAGGGTCAACAATAAGACCCTCTGTCAAGGTATAATTATGTCCATTGCCAGGATGAAAGGCTTCCTCCACCAGCTGGGATACCAACAGCTCTGTCAACGTAAATACATTCCATGATTCCATGGGCCATCCTCTCTGTATGTCCAATGGATGTCCTGGCTGGGCTACACTACTATCCGACATGGAGATTGGTTTGAGACTCTGATCTCCGGGCGGCAAGCGGGAGTTCTTCTCTTCAGCAAGCGGACCTTAAGACCATGGACCACGCTCTGGGGCCTGCCGAACTCCCACCCCCAGGACCCACCTGCTTTCCACCCACGCGGGTTCACCCCGCGGCGAGTCGACGCACTGGCCGCAGCCCCGGCAGCCGTTCGATCTCCCGAATCTCGACCGGCCGTCCGGATCGAGCCCGGAGAGCCGGTTGCTTTCGTTGCGCGGCCCCGGAATCGCCGCCGGACTTGGCCCCGGATCGGCCCGGATCGTCGCACGTTCCTCTCTTCGCCCAGGGGCCGTGGAGGGTCCAACTGTACCAATCCACTGTGCAGCACGAGGCCAAACAACGAGACGCAGCGATGCCTGGCGAGGTCGCAGGTTTCCAACCAGCGTCAATTGCGGTGGAATGGAGCATGGCGTACTGGGAGTGAAATGCGTGAAACACAGGGTGATGGTGTAATTGGAGTTCAAATCCTGAATCAGGAAAACCATGGAAAACCAATTGCGTACACCCCACATAATAGATGACCGTGGCACGGCTTCCAATACATTCTGAACATGGAGATCTACTGTTCTATCTTATATATTATGACAGGGGTATATATAAATGATCGCAACAATGACTTGCAGTCGAAGCCAGGGAAAACAAATGACATATGGAAATCATCGTTCCCCATGCGGGAGAAAACCCACGTTCAAGAAATCGGACCAATGGACCAAGGGAAAGAGAACCTGTCGGATTTGGTGATGAAATCTCCAAGCTCCTCACACCTGGCTGTGGGTCATGGCACTGCGGAACAAAACAACAAAACAAAACATACCAGGACCCTCCAAGGGGTGCCCAATGGAAGCCTATAGTTAGTGTGGGGTAGTTCATTGGACACCCCTTGGAGGGTTCTGGTACTAAACAGAAAACTTCGGAATAGACGACCTACAAGATATGGTCAACCTACAAGGGTCAGTGAAACGGGCTGGTGCCATGACCCATCTCATTCCAAATCAACACATGTTCCGAATCTGACCCCACCAAAGCAGGAACTTGGAGACCGGGTTGTTCCCACCCAACATGAACAGAATAGACTACCACCTAGACCCTCCAAAATACCCTAGACTAACATGGGAATGCCCCTGTTTCAACAGGTAGACTGTATATATATTATATTATATACTGTATATATTACTTGTGTACAATCTTGTAATGTGTACCTTTTGAGATCTTTTGAGTAACTACTTTTTTGTAGTACCTGGTAGACATGGTCAACCTTCCAGGGATTTCCAGGGTCGCACCCAACGCGTACTCCACGTATACCTCCGCGTATACCTCGGCTGTACTCCGCGTCCGAAGCCTTTGGCCGCGTACTCCGTCTCGTTGAAGTTCTTGTGGTCGGGATGCAAAATCGCAGTGACTCCTCGAGTGGGGCGGAAGTGGGTGGCAAACGTCCCCGGCCCTTCCGCCCCGTGTTGAAAGTTGAAACAAGCGGCTAAGCGGTTGAGCAGTTTGATCCAAAATAGTCCAACCCAAAGAAGTCCGGAGCTTTTTTGAGCGTTTGAGACTGTTGGCCCCAAACGTTTCCCCCCAAACAGGTCTTGTGACTCTGTTTCGTTAAACAACCACAGTCAGGTCTGCTAGCGATGCTCCGACGTCCGGATAGAAGGAAGACGTCAGTTGGGAACATCTTGGAAGTACACTCCCTGGAACTAACATGGAAGTGGATGTGGCCCCGAAAGGAAGACCATGAAATGCACTACAAACAGGTGGTTTTCCACTTCCATGTTAGTTCCAGGGAGAGTATAATGACGTTCAAGCCACTGAAGCTCTTGAACTACACATGGAATCACGTTCAAAGAACAAGGATTTGGAGGAGGCACCCAAACTATTCTAATCCGCCAACCCGAACCATTTCCGAAGTCAGGTTGACCAGAATCACCTCTCGCCAACGCAAAGAAACGACTCACCCGCGGATGGATGTTTCTCGCGGGTGCACTCTCGCCCTCACAGCCGAAAAGCAGCCCGGCCAAAACGGTGCTCGGCGCCGGGCTCTCGGCGCGGATCGCACGTGGCGCGGCCGGATCGGAGTCCCCCGGGCTGAAGGGAAATGCGATGTGTATTGACATGCGCAAAAGGACCCCCCAAACAACATGAAACACGTCTGACAGTGCTCGAGGGACGCGCTGCAAAACCTCCAAACATTGGAGATTGGGACCATGTGCTGGAGAGGGCCTGGAAGGGCCTTTACGGCACAGTCCTGCAGCTTGCGGGCGGTGGTCGCTGCAAGTCGAGCCGACTTGTGGCAACCACTGGTGGAGAAGTCTCTTGATAGGACGACTGAGTCGGGGTATGTCACATCATGTCGCATCAGTGGGTAACATAAGATCGTATAAGTCTATACCGGCCAGGACGAGAAGTTGTGCAAGAATGCATCCGGCACGATGCCTCCGGCGCTTGTTGGGATCTTTGATGTAGAGGTGGCGTATCCGAACTTTCCCAACTTCGACATGCTTCCGGAGGACCAGTTTTTGCTCACTCCACCAGACTCCTAGGCTTCGGAGCCCGCCCAGGGCCGGTAAAAACTGGGCTGCACGCGGGTTGACGGTTGTCGGGCGAGTGAGGTTGTGGGTCTGATCTGCAGCGAAAGATTTGGCGCAGAAAATTGGGAGATTCTCTCCCCGGGTCTGTTTCCACAGCTTCCAAGGCTGGAAGAATCCACTTTCAGTGCTTGAAGTGTCGCCTCCTATCGCATATTGATGCTGCGAAAGGTGCTTCTCTTTCTCGACCAGCTTAGGGAAGCGGTGGAAAACGAGGACAAGTCTAGTACATCATCGGCCATGCAAGATCAATTCACCCCTGCTTTTTCTGCAGGGTGGTTTACTTGGATTTGCTTCAAGAAGCGGGAAGAGTACAACGACATATTCACCACCAGAGGGACAATTCACCCGCATGGATAAAATGTTCACCTTTTCAAGCAAAACTTGGTTTATAGACCCCCCATGACCTTGTGGTTACCATCCAAGAACCATCCGAGATCCGCTGGGGGACGTTCCCGGGATCTCAAGTTCGGTCATGAGCTGAAGATCCTGGACTGTATATAGTTTCACAAGATTCGAGCTCCCAATCTCTGTCATCCTAAAAAGCACGACCTTGAACAGCGACCTTTTTCATCATTTCTGTCTAGTGCTTGGACCAAAGCTGTGGCTCTTGAACCACCGGATCTTGCGATAGCCACCACCGGATCTTGCATAGGTCGATCCCCCCGGATGGCCGGAGATAAAAAATTGGGCGCGACGACGGACCTAGCCGCGCTCGGCACGTCGGCGTGTGCCGTCCGTGCGAGACTCTCCCTTAGAGTCCAGAATCTTGTCCTTGGAGCGAAAGCTTGTTTGAGTCACTCGGATCGGCTTTCTGCAACGGATTTTTGAGGTTCTTTTTTGGGAGAGGTCAGAACGGCTGGTGGGGCTGGAACTGAAAGTACTGACAAAGTAGGACTACGTAGGATGATAGTAGGATGTTCTTATAGTCTTTGTTTAAACAATTTCAAACCGTGCCTCACGAAGCCTAAACGGGATTCTCTTTCATGACTCGACGATCTCCAAAAATGATGGTGAGCTGATTTGGGACGTATAGATCAAGAGAAAAAAAATAAAAACACATCACATGTACCAAACTCACAAGCATAAGCCACATTCCAATCCTTGGAATGTATGACAATCAAGAGTTTGAAGAGTGAGCAATAGAACTTAATCGCAAAAAACATCCCAAACATCTCAGAAACAAGTTGGTTAGCTATATGAAACTTGTCCCTGACACAAGCTTACTGTAAAATCCTTCTATGGGCCTCGGGATGGCTCAAAAAGATCGAGGGCCCGTTGGTGTTCGTCCTGTTCTGCAATTTTCCAGGAGGTAACAAACTCGACTAACTGATGTTGGAGCCATAGATATCAAATATCTGCTCCGAATGATCTGCAGGCCCCTCTTCCTCCACTCCTTTTCCTTCTCTTTCCCAGTGTCAAGGTTGGCCTCGACGCGGGCAAGGTTCCTCAGCGCGACAAACAGGCGCGGCGCGAACCACGGCGGGAGCTGAGTGGCAAGTGGCATCGCATTGAAGAGAAGACCTCATCCCTTTGGCCTTCCAACCAGGATCCGTCCTTGGCAAGGTGTTCCTCCAAAACAGGTCCTTCGCAGTGTCGGGGGACCGGGGTGTTCCTCCGCTGGGCGGACGCGAAAAAGCGCGTCCGACAGATCGCCCGTGTTTAGCAGAGATGGGTCAACCTAGGAAGCTAGGCGCAGCTAGGCTGAAAGACCCCCTGGCTTGAGCGTTTTTTACTTAGTTGTTTAGTTGAGTTTGTTGGACTAAACCGGAATGGTTTCACTTACGAGACACGGGGAATGGAGAAATGCAATCCTGCCACGATCGAGATTGGTCAGCACCCTCGTGCCTGGTTGGTCTTCCTGTTTGTGACCGCACAGACACATGAAGTCGCACCACGTTTGGTTCACAAGAAACACAAACCACAAGCCACTTGACTATGACCACTGAGGAGGGTGGTTTCTATAATATCTATCACCACAGACTCCGCACCTTGTGAGGCATGCCAGAGGCAAAGGGCCGAAATGGTGTCTGTAGATGTTTGTAGGGGTTCATGAAGCGTGCCAGGCCCCAGGTGCTTTGGTGAGGACAAACCAATTTCACCTATACCATGGCCCGGTGGTTTGTTTCAAGACCTCAATAAATCATAGTTTTCACTCGCTCCATATTCCCACTTCCTGGAGCCCCAAAAAAGCGGACGACCACGGCCCTTCACTTGACTAGTCTTCCCTACGCCGCGTCTCCACGGCCCTCGGTCTCCACGGCCCATCGCTCGCCACACCTGTGCCTTCCCACCCTTCCCATCGCGCCCCCCCCGAAAACCGTCCCCTCGACTCACTGGGCACAGCGTCTGGTTCACCTGGTCGGAGAACTCGGAGACCTTCTCGCTGAGCTTCGTGGAGATCTCCGTGGACTGGGCCTCCTGCGTCTCCTTGGCGCTCCAGGTCGGGTCCCGAGCACGGGTTCGGTGGGGGATGGCTGGAACAGCCCCAAACTGGGGGGTGTGGGCCGACACAAAGCGGGTTCCGTTGTGAGAAACAAGCATGGACCAGCAGCCTCCAGCAGGTCTGATGTGGCTTTTGAGTATATAGATTCTAAGGATGACTCGGATCCGTGTGTCGCTACTCAGGGCAGCCGTAAACAATGATATCAATGATCTATGTGTGCGGAAATATGGTCGTTAGACGATGATCTGTTACTGGATGTTACTGAGATATATGATATACAGATCCAGATTCCAGCTATACCAGGATCTTCACTGCCAGGTCTTCTTTGATTCCAGGGTTGGGAAGGGCCCTGTTGGAGGTCGAACCATTGGTGACCTGGCAGTGAGGATTCTGGAAGAGTTTACAATGCGTACTATACATGAATCTACATGATATGCGTTGGTTGTTCTTGGAGCCACCATGGCAGATTGTTGTATCATGTTATATAAATATAATAGTCTTAAATACAATTGGGCCGTCAAGACAAAAGCAGACTACCAAAACCATTCCCTTGTTCACAGGGGTTCCGGGACCTCGGCCAGCTGAGTAGCTGCAGAACTTGGTGATCTGAATTCACAAAAACTGCTTCGCAGTCGGTCGACGTTCTCCTCCGCCCGCGCCTTAAAGGATGAGAGCTCAGTGCGGAGGAGTTCACCCACCTGTTGCAAGTTCTGGCTGCTCACGTCTTGCTGCCTCAGCTTGCTGCGAGTTCTGGTTGCGACTTCGAGTTGTTCCACTCGGATTGCTCAGCTTGCTTTGGAGCGACCATCTGATCACCGGCTCTTTTGGAGGTGGACAAAAACACCAAGTCACTGGCGCAGGGTCTGACTAGGTGCGACTCCTAAGGAATGAGGGGCTGGATCCATAAGAAACATGCCGAAACGCTCCATGTATGGAGTAGTTTACTTACATTGAGGTGGTTGATTTGCATGGGGTTCCATGGGGCGCCTTTCTTTATTTCAGTCCCATTAGGTCGCGTCCGAGTAATAGGGGCCCTGGAAAATGGGTAATGAAAAAAAAAAAAAAAGGTCTATAATCATAGAGGGTCCCAGCAGTGCTTTGACACAACCTGAAAAAATAGGGAGACCGACCTCGCTAAGCCTCGGGCCAGGGGGTTTCCCTATTTACACGCCGGAGCCTATTCACTTGGAGCCTATCGGTGGACCTTTAAGTAGCTACTTGTTCCTAGCCAGGAGCCGCGTTCGTAGCGTCCTTGCTCCTAGTAGCGATGCCAGGAGCCCCGTTCGTAGCTTCTTGTCTATGGGTCGAGGGGGTCTTATGATTCAAATGCCACCCCTTCAGGCACCTCCCAGCAGCTCGTCCCACCGACTTCGGCTGCCCAAGCGGCTGCTGCGAGAGCACCTCGGCCACTCCCAGCAGCTCTTGCCGCAAAAGCTCAGCGTCAGACGTGGCGCTTGTCGAGCCGACGACTGGTCAGGTTCGGAGCTGGATAGGGCTGGGCACATCCGAAAAGAAGGTACCTGGGGCGACCTTGGTATGGCAAAAAAGAAGCTATCAGAATCTCTCAAAAATCATTCTTAAAAGAAAAAGACACACACACACACACTTTTTGGGGGTGAATCGGGTGAATTTACGTAGGGACAAAGCCAAAGCCGATTTGGCACTGGAACCATGCCGTAGACTGTGAACGATCTTTTGCCAACAATGGCCGTGAAGCGGTTTAAGGAGTTTTGTCCAGAAATGATCCGGTATTGGGATAGGATTTGGATGGTCTGGCCTCAGACAGTCAGAATCTGTGGCCAAACGTCCTAGTCATGAGAAGAACGCACCGATCCAACAGGAGAAGAGTGGAGAATCAAGGGGTGCAGCCATCACCCGAAGGATCCGAACCCAACAAAAACAGGTATGACTCCACTGACACTGACTGACATACCTTAGAAGGAGTACTTTGACCCTGTCTAAGGGTATCACTGTCATATATTCACTTTAGGAGTACCTTGAGGGTCCAGGTACCTTGCACCTTCAGATACCTTCACTCACATGAAGCTTCACATGCCTCAATGAAGTCTACGTCGCATGTTTCTGCGGTAGGGAGGCACTGGAAGATCCTACAGTATTAGGCACGATGGATGCACCTGGTTGATGTAACTGTAGTCTCTTGGTTAACAAATTCCAGATTTGAATTATACCATTATATTAATATGTGGTTTTATCGGTCTACATGACCGACATATGTTCCCTACCGTTGCCTCAAGATTTCACTCCCATCGAAACCAGGCAACCCAGCCATGGATAGTCACGGAATCCAAGCACCAACCATCCCATCTCCCGGTCCCCAAACAACGAGCTCCGTCTCCCATTCCATGCACTCACCGCACCCCACGAGCGCTCGCTGCGTGAGGTGCCTTGGCCCTGTGAGGAGGCCAGTTCTAAGCGATGGACCCCTTCGTCTAAGCGCTCCACCATGGCCGCGATTGCCGACTTCAAGTTGGTGTCCTTGGGACAACGCGGGGCCCGAATGGATGTGTTTGGAGCTGAAGAGTCGGACCCCAACTGGTAGTGATCCACCACTTGTGAGGGGGTGAGTCATCACTGGACTTCGAAAGGAACATGATGCCGATTCAGTGGCAAAAACCAACTAGGACCAACCCAGGCCCCGGAACTGGATTCTATAGTCAGGTTCGGCTTGGTTCGTATGTGACACAGTATGTGACCATGGAAGAACAACCGTGTCCCATTGATCCTGGGCTATGGCTCCACTTCCACCACAAATCGATAGAGTATGATAGAGTGATGGGATGAAGCCTCGGCCCCAAGAGCACTTCGTACCGAACCAGGTCGGTACGGTGGCAGTGGATCCCGGTGGTCGCACCAGAGCCTGAACGACCACCTGAACGACCTCGCACATGCCAGGTCGCAGTGCCACCGTTCACGCCCAAAAGGCTTTCCTTGACCTGGAAGTCGGGCAAACTGGATACATGATCATCGATTCCAGGATCTCAAGTGATTCCACACGACTTTGGTGCGAACCAATTGCATCTTCGTCAGGCTCATTCGACCCTCACATGCAGCTATAGGGTTTTCACCCCCACAAACATGCAGCACGTGGTTGCTTTGGGGCCGAACGGGTCGCCTCATGTCTGCAACTCTTGTCATTGGACCTCGGTGGGGTTGCATTTTTCTCTGCGCCAGGTTGGCCGGTGGGACGGGAAGCACCAGTTTTTTCTGCGCGCTCTGCGCGCTGGAACTGTGCTCACTCACGTTCTGTGTCTAGCACCCCAAGATTCAATCAGCAACTTCAGATCTGCATTTTTTCTGGAGTGCCTCTTCTTCCTATATGGAAAATGATGGAAGGGCAACTGTTGAAATCGGCATCCCTTTCCTATGTCGATTGGCTGCGTGGAATGAGAACATGTTTTTGATGATGATTCTCGAGATATGGCTTTCAAGGTTTGGTTAACGAAAAACCAAAGGCTGAGAATGACTGAGATATCCTTGGTTTTGCATGATGAGTCGGCAACGGAAAATCCGAAGGGCACCCATGGATGACAACCTTCGAACACATCTCCATCTTAATAGTCAATGGTCCAAAACACTTCTACTAATAAGTCAAACCAGAAAAAAAAAAAAACAACTAAACCAGCAACAAACATGCACTTATCAAGCCATGTAAGCAAAACCAAACCCAGATAATGATACCACATGCAGCTTCACCACGTTTCAAAAAAATGAGATATGTGACAACATGTGCAGCTCTGTCTGGACTCTGTGAGGCCCGGTTGTTCATCAATGCTCACATACCACTCCTAGAGTCGCGGTGCATGTCATTAATGGCAATCGCTCCATGTATGGAGTCTTTACCTATATAAGTATTGTCCCCGGAAAGCACCTCAATGTAGGTAAAGTATGCCATCCATGGAGCGTCTGGGAATGCTATAGTATACCATTCACTGTGCAAACCCAAGACCAAACCCAGCCTTCTTGTATATTCTCAGTGGACTTGGAGTTTTCCACTTCAGACTTCATGGATCTTCCGCTTTCGCCACACAGACTCTCTTCATGTGTTTTTTCGCAAAAACGTCACGCCCACCCGACCGCCACGTCACGCCGGACCGCCATGACCGGCCGACGCGTCGGTTGGACCTCGGACAGCTGCTTGACGATGACCTCGCGGAGATTCATCTCCTCAGCTCGGCTTGGCTCTGCGGCAGAGCGAGAAAACGGTGGGGAGCGGCGAAGCCAACCGAGAGAAGGCGAGCAGCTGACTGAAGTGGGCAGGCGGTCAAAGGCAGGGAGAGGGCCTTGTTTGGGAAGCCCTAGAACAAGAACAAGGGTGTCCAACTTGTTCAAAAGGTTCCACATTGAAGAACAAATCAATTGTTTACTCATGTTTACTCCATTAGCCAAAGTTGGTGGTGAATTTGGAAGTCCGGGAAGCCTCCAAAGTTCACCTCCTTGAAAAGGAAGAATCAATCCAAACCATCCCAAAGCCTGTCAATTGATCATATATTAGGTGGGGTCACCCCAATATACACCAATATATATTTCCCACATCTTGTCAACCCGCCATGGCGGCCGATGTTTTCTTGGGGGGACTCCATATGTTTGGAGCCCCAGCCCGAATTGGATTGAGAACTTACAAGAGGGGCCTTTCACGGTTTTCAGCCAAACAATGTCGCTGGGATGCTGTTTCTTCAAGTGTGTGGGGTTCACATCCCCGCAACCCACTTGGGACAAGGTCGGACTCCAAAGATTGGGGCAAACTGCAGTGAACCAAAGGCGTCTGACCTTACCATGGGAAGAACCAAGGGGTCAGTGCTTCGAATCATTATCGTTTGTACACGATGCGATGCATGGGGGTTATCCTCTCTATATGAATCAGCCAACAGCCAAGGCCAACGATGCGTGACAACTCGTCTGCTTTCTCACTTGGATCTTCTGGAATGAATTGTGAACCTCGTCTAATTCCAATTTCTGCAAGAGCTCCTGGTCCAATTCTGCCTAAAATAGCTGTTGATGGGACTCGGACTGCAACAACCAGAATACAGGCTTGGGTGAACAAGGCATGGCATGGTCGACTAGTCATGGAAGACGGCGGCCGAATCCAAGCGGATCTTTTCCAACAACGAACGTCCCAAACACGACGAGGTTTTGCACTGCTCACCCCTCGAATCCATCCCGGCTGTGAACGTACGTAGTCTAGTGCTCGATCTGTAACTCTCCGACACGGCTACCTCACACTGACACTAAAACTGTTGCACCCCCCAAAAAGGAATCTGTTCATCTCTTGTCCTCCCTCTTCCCAAATGTCTGAATAGCATCGCACAGCCCCATCCCGCCCATCTTTGCCGCAACAACCGCGCCGAACTTCTGGCAGAAATGCCAACTTCAGACCCTCTGGGATCGGCTTGAGGGAGAAAGTAACAAGTCCCCATGCCTAGGAGATATGCACCAAACACTCCCGTGAACCCCCCCAAACCCCAACGACCTCGTCCGCCCCAGTCGTCCGACCCAGGCGCCAAGTTGGCGGAGGAGTGCTGCATGTATTCCGAACCTCAGGATTATGCGGCGCCCAAAACCGGGGAAAACACACAAAACCCACCTACTCCCGGGCTTTGTAAAGCCCCACATCTTGCCCAAAGTGCCCGAGACGGGGCTCTTCAACCCAGAAACTGGGGTTCCCCTCACATGTCACTCTCACTGTGTCTTCTCTCCAAACCCAGGGAACGTGTGAAGCTCTCGAGGCTGTTGGCACTCTGTTGGATGGAGTCCTGGGTGTTGGAGACCTTGGACGAGCTTCGGTGAGGTGAGGTGAGCAGGTGTGTTGGAGTGCGCAAGCGCCGCGCTTTGGGCCGGTTGCAAATGTTGGATGTATTTAAGTAGAGAGGAGAAACTGCGTGCTAAGTCGTGCTAAGTCGTTGCTCAGATATCTTGTGATCCAGCTTTCCATTTAGACTTCCCATGTAGAGAGGGGGTCCACACTTAGAGGAACTTGGATGACTCTGTTCTTCTGGTACCCCGGCATAGAACCAGAACAAAAGGCATTGAAAGACTATCTTCAAGCCTCCTCTTTCTTGGTGTTTGTCAAATTTGGGGTGTTGGCCTTCGATCACTGTTAAAATGGCTCAGCTCATTGGCTGCCAATCCAGTCGGGAAGCTGATCTTTCCCGTGTCCTGCTTCTTTTATGTAGATCATAGACTAATCAATGAACGCAAAGCATAGAGAACGAAGGCGCCACGCGTCGTTTGAAACAACGCGTCCAGTCTATCTGCAACAGTCGGAAGAATTTGACAATGTGCTTTGTACGCTTCAAACACGAAACACACACCCGGCCTGCCCCGTTGGTATATACGGCAATCATTGACCCCTGAAATCCAACTGCTCGGTACCAGTCCCCACGATCTGGGTCAAACACTGTCTGGTGCTCCGTCGATGGCCCAAATCCATCCAAATCCCCTTGGACAAACCCCGGAACCCGGGACCATCTCATGTTCAAGGCTCCTTGTCGCAGATCCGGGCGTGGGTACTTGTGGCATTGACCCTTCAAACCATATAAACCCTACAAGTCCAAAGACCCAGTAAAAACCTGGTCTTTTACCTCCTTAAGTATTGGTTTTGACTTGTAGGGAAAACCAGAACCTCCAAGCACTCTCCAGGTCGTCTCGTCTCGTCAGGTCCTTCCGTCTCGTCTCGGTCCGTGTCGGTCGCCAGGTCGCCAGGTCCATGATCAGCATCGTCTGTCGGCGCACATCCACCATGCGTTCCTGCTGGAGCGGATGGAGCGCCGCCGTGAAGATCGGTCCCCAAGCGGAAACAGGGAGAGAGACAGCGGGGAAGTGGACGAAGCGCGCATGGAAGAATGAGGGCGAAAGAACTGTACTCGTCTAATCTCTTCTATAACATGATCCGTGCACTTACACTTTGTTGTTTTCCTGAGTTTCTCAAGTCATGCTTTTGTCATGCGCCTCGTCCTCCTTCTCAAGAAGCACCGGCGCCCAACTCCTCACCTCTCCCGCCCCGCCTCCTGCGTGGCGGTGGCCCGCTCGGTGGTCTCTGCCATGGCATTGCATTGCTCGGCCAAGGACTTCAGGGCGCCCTGCACCTGGGTGCACCGGGCAGTGCAGGGTGCCCGGATTAGGCGCGCCACAGTCCGAAGGCCCAAAATGCATGGTCACGAGCTGATCTTCAAGCAACCTTTTTCTCTTGTCCCCCGAAGTTTGGCTGTTCCAGATTCACTTAAGACAAACAAACGTATACATGCACATCACATCAGCAACTGGGATTTGTTCGGCCGCCAGTGGCAAGGGACGTTCGTGGTGAGCTTCTCCGACTTCTCCTGTTGGTCCTCCAGAGTCAGTTGCTGGATTGGAGGATGGGAGGATGGGATCTGCCAGAATGGGGCGGGCCTTGAAGATCTCACCCAACTTCCGATGAGAAAGGGAGAGTCGGATAGAGGCGGCACAGTGGCAGGTATGTGTGCATGCCTTTCGGTCGATTCATCCCATGCCTCACATCGTTTGGCCAACAGCCCGGGCTGCGTCGTTTTCACGACGCCTTCTCGGCTGAAAAAAACCTGTCTCCCCAAGTAGGTGCCTCCTCCAGTAGGTGCTTGTCTTCAGTTTGAGACAAGCAGAAACAGCAAGTCGTCAACACGTGATCTTGAAAGGGAAGTCCTCTACCTGTCAAACTTCAATTTTCAATGCACGTCTTCAATTCAATCATCCAGAAAGCCTAACTCAAGGGGTGAACTATCTCCTTATGGTTTCTGGGCTGCCAACCCCCTTTGAGCCACCAACCCACGTCCACTGAGGCTTCTCATGGCTTTATTTGCATCTACTGAGTTGCTTCGGCTCTTCTCGAGTGGCGAAAGTGCGAAGACCTTCATGGAGCCACATCTTAAGCCCTTCGAAGCATAGAACGAGCCCTTCGACCCATCCTTCATAGCCCAACAGACCAGCTGGCTTCCGTTTGGGGTCACTTTACTGGACAACGGAAGGTCTTTATACATGGCGTTCCAACTCTGAACGTGCCTGGTGAGAGGTTTTTGCTTTCAACCCTCGCACGTGCCGCTTCCACCGTGGGACCCATCGAAGATCACCCCCCGTGCTGGCAGCACCCACCGCCCGTGCCGGCGCTGTCCGCGCGCGCGCCGGGCGGTCGCGCCGATCGTCGGCCGCCTTGCGGAGCTCATCGGAGCTGTCGGTGATCCTTCGCTCCAAGGTGCCTTCCATCTCCTTAGAGATCGTGCCCAAGTCGTGGGGAACACCGCGATAAAGCGGGGCGTTCGGCCGCCGCGGAGGTGAACTGGGGGGAATATCCAAACCATTGTCCGTTGTGAATGGCGAAGAATGAATCCCTACAAGTCAAAGAACTCATTTTACTGGGGATGGTCATACAAAACCAATACTTAAGGATGTAAAAAGACAAACAGGTTTCTGGGTCTTTTGACTTGTAGGGGTAGATTTTGGCATACAAGTCCCAACCCTAGGACCTGGGAACATGGGACGGGCTTTACACTCCAGAACTTTTGGACACCAGTGTTTGTTTGTTTAGACGCTCCATATTCCAATATTTGTTTTTATGTTATGAACAGTTTATTTGCCCAGATTGGGATGGCTGAAAGGGGTCAATGTAGGCAAATGTGATATACATGGAGTGGAAAAGGGACGTTTTCCCACCCAACATGAACAGACTAAACGACTGACCAAACATGGTCAACCCATGTTTGGGTCAGTTTAGAGCTCTGGGTGCCATGACCCACAGCCATCTCATTCCAAATCAACACATGTTCCACAGAATCTGCCCCCCACCAAAGCAGGAACTTGTGGAGACCCTTGCAGCTCTCAATTGATGCATCTTCACTAAGAGATGTTAGTTCCAGCCCCACCAGGAAATGTCATCATGAGCATCCGTGTTAAATCCTCCCCACTCCCCCCACTCCCTCTCCGTATCTCTCCGTCCCACCCGACTTCCACTGGCCATGGCACCACTAAACGCTTCCGTGTGAACTCATGGCCGGAGTCCACCTCGCAACACGAGCATCGACTTGCTGTGAAGGCCCAAAGTGTTGCGAGGTCAGAGTGTTGGGTGCCATTTGGGGATGGGTCCAAACTTCCTGGAGCTTAAAACAGAAACTGGTAGGTCGACCTGGCTGCTAGGTTCTTTCTTTCGGTCTCCCACCCACAGCCGTTGATGTGTGTGTGTTTTTTTGTTTTTCAGAAGTTGAATCCTTGGATCCCTTTTCAACCACCCCAATGTACACAACTCGATGCCATGGAGTTGTCTGTCTTTCTTTGGGACAGGTGTTTCATCGGTACAAAGACCGACCGCTGTCAAGGACAAGCGCAACGGAGACACCGGTCATCAAGCTGTCAAAGGCAATACGACTTCTTTCACATCATACGACATCACGCGGCCAACAGTCAGTTCCGTGGTTTTCAAAGACGTGAAGGTTGTGAAAAGACGTGAAGAAGATTTAGAACCCGACCCAACGACTATCTAGGAAATGAAAGGTTTCATAGAGCGTCAACTCTTAGATACTCTAGACTTCAGGACCTGAAGAACGCAGCGGCTATGTGGAAGTCTTTCAACCACCCAGGATGGCCGGAAGGTAGATGTTAAAAAAAGACCAACATAATCCAACATGGTGATTTTTGGGCACCGAAGATTTGGAAACACCGGAAACACCGATCGAATGGAGGGTCCAGGCACAAGTGCTTCTTTCATCTTCTTTATGTTTTCACTCCACCATGATCCACTCGGTGTCTCTTCTACTGTTCCCACGCAGGACAAACTCCCACTCCGCGCTGTCGTGACTGACGGAAGCGGCTGTGCCATGCTGTACCAGCCGCTGTGCCTGCTTGACCAAGGCGGTTTGCTTCGTAGCCACTCCTTCCAGCAGCTCATGGGAGTCTTTGGATTGCTTCAACAAATCCTGCTGCGTCACATCCTCGACACAGCGCGCATTTCCATGCGTGGTCCACGCGGAGACGGAGCAGGTGGTTCGAACGGAGAACGGAGCCCAGTGGTGGTGTGAAAGGGGAGGTCTTTTCGTTTCAGAACGGAGCAGGAGCTGATGGGATTCATGTCCTAGGATCCTAAAGCACCTTTCTAAGAAAGAGGAGGAACGAAAGATTTCCTGTGAGAAAGTCGATCTCTGCCTATATATACCTTCTGCATATACTTGAATCTCATAATACAATTGCTGCCTTCGACCGTGAACGATCACAGCTACAGAGGCCCAAACTTGAACCAACAAAGGGCTAGCAGCTACATGATGACGGAACCCAAACCTGTCCATCAATGGCCACTGGGAAGTTCCCTGGGAAGACGACTTTCCTCTATACAAATAGGTGGTGGTTTTCCACTTCCATGTGATGTGTTCGTCAAAGGGTGCACTTTGGATGTGTTCGTCAAATAAGCCTACAAGGCTTTCAGCGCATCCAGGTTCACAAACATGTTTCGGCTAACACTTCAGCAACCTTTTCAGGTGATGTTTTACCACGCAAGTAGTGCAGTCTTCTTCAGGATCTTCCCAGCGGGAAGATGCGGGAGCCCCGACAGATCGAAGGCGAACCGCGAACGACGCTGGCGAGGCACCAACTTCTGTAGGAGGACACTGCTGGAGGAGTTCACCGTCTCCATGAGCGCCTCGGGTTTTTTTCACGGAGTGGAGAGCTGGGCGGCGCGCGCCACAGCTGAATGGATCGCATCCGTGTGAAATGATGATCATCCACTCCAGTGAACACATCACCTGGAAGTGGAAAACAAACTGCTTTGATAGAGCTAATTATAAATATCAATTAAGTCTTCCTAAGGGACAAACTGCACTTCCATGTGATGTGTGTTGTTCTTTTCGACACCGATCCGACCGTCTCACCGCTCCGATGATTCGAAGTGCCTCGGAAGTGAACACATGGACCTCTGGTTTTGAGGAACAACAAACATGTTTGGGCTCCAAAACAGGGGTCACTCAGGTTCTAGGATATATAACTGTATAGAGAGAGAGAGAACCATATGAACACCATATGAACCAGTATATTATATAAATGAATTATATATATTGAATATTTTCGAATTATCGTAACATGGACTGAAACAATTTGGTGTACACTGCCAAACACAGGGCCAACCTTGGGACTATCCTCATGACAGCACTTGGATCATGATGGATCACACAAGTCTGCCGTGAGGAGTGAGGAGTGAGACTTCCGTGAGAAGTGAGGTCACTTTGCTCTGCCCTACTTGAGATCCTCACACCCCAACGACCACCACCCATCCCTGAGCGACAGAGTTCGGCGTCGCCACGCACGCCGCCGATCCGTCCTGCTTGGTGTTGTCCGTGGCCCCAGTGATGCTGTTCAACAGGTTATCCACAGCGATCTGCGCCGTTTCTTTCGCACGCCACACGTCACGTTTCGTGGGGCCCAGCATGGGCAGCGATTGGAGGCGCAGCAACTGTCGGATCAACTGCCTAGAACCTGAGTCTGACCTCTATTTTGGACCAACCACCCAAAATATGGTCCAAGTTCAAAACAAAGGTCATGTCCGGGTTCCAGGTGCTTGCAGGAGGCTTACAGTTTGTTGTCCTCCAAGATGGAACATGGACCCAGAAGGATGTTTAATCTCTGCCAGTATTGAGGTGGAAGGATTATAATCCTTACCCTAGAAGTCCAAAGACTATATTTTGACCGACTGATGCAAAGGATATTCCTTTTCGGGTCACCTAAAGACCATTCTTTTTGTCGCCTTTGACTCCCAGGGCTATATAGTTAGTGACTAGTCGTGTCATGAGCAGCACTTTAGGTGGAAATCCATGCTTTCGGGATGTTTTCTGTTGGGCAAAAGCCACCCACAAAAGCGCAACACTTGGCCTCCGAGTCGGACTTCTGTCCAAGAAATCCACAGTTGTCTATATGGAGATGCGGGGAGGCCAAGGCCTCTCCTGTTGTGGGCTTCCACAACGTTAAACAACAGAAAGAACCACACAAAAAATCAGTTCTACAACCAGCAGTAGTTGATGGCGATGCGACCGCTTTCCTGTCAAAACCGACCTGCCCGTGGATCGATCTCACCGTTCTCAACGAACAACCGGAGAGGGACTTGGGACTTGGTGAGTCAGTATAACCCCTTTCCCTACGTACGTACCTGATCTAGACCCAGGTCCAGTCTCCTGGTCTATAGACGACCTCCTTAAGTATTGGTTTTGTATGACCATTCCCAGTATTTCATGAGGTCAGTTCCTGACTTGTAGGGTTTAACACATCAAAGGGGTCGATGGGAAGATCTACCTCCACCGAGTCGGTGAGGCTGTGAGGAAGCCGCGGCGTTCACCCGTCCGCCTTTTGGGTGTCCACCTTCTGCACCACACTATCCTGAGAACTGTCCAGCTTGTGCAACAAGACCTGTCAGCAAGCTGGTGCACAAGGTGAACAAAACTGAGAGTGAATGAGCGCACAACTACTGGAGTGAATGGCTTGTTGGGCGATGTTTTGTTAGCCTCAGGGTTTTGTGGTGTGGGTTTCGACAGACTTTGTTTCACGGCCGACATGCAAAGGTCAGTTCATAGGTTCAACAGTGTATTATGATACATGCAGTGTGTATATATCTATATATATAAGGATATATATATATATAGGGGACATTTTTTCAAGGATGGCTTATCCTAAAAAAGACGTACATCATTTTTTATGGGATGGTTCATCACGGCTCATCTGTTTCGAGACGTACATTATGTATGGCTCATCTGTGTGTTTTTCCAGCTTGCAAAAGTTCACTTCCGTAGAGGTCCTAGGTCCCAACCTGGTGACTTACCGTATCGTTTATAGGTGCATATTCATCTTAAGGTTTTTTCGTTAAAACGGCGGCGGAGTAGCGAAAGGACCTACCCCAGACACGACAGATGGGACTGCCATAGACGCCGCCCCATTGACCCCCCTGGCCCCCCCTTTGGCCTGATCGGCATATATGGCAGTCCCATGGAGTGTCTGGGTACTGATTCATTGAGCGGGCCGGTCTTTTCAAATGAATCAGTACGTTGTGAAGAAGCTTGAGCTTCTTCACAACGCTAGCTTCTGAGGTCACCGGTCGAGCGAGAATGGTCATGTCAGTTCTGAACATGACCTAGCGAGTTTGCCACATGTCGTCTTCTTTAAACAATTCATCAAATGGACTCTCTATATAGCCTTCCAATGACCCTTAAATGGTTGGCTTTGTAGATTGATATATGTATATTGTAAAACACTGACTGGTTGTTTAATATTAAAACCCCAAAACACAACGGTGGTCGGAATCCTCTAAAGGATTGCTGGTGTACCAAACATTGCAGTGCCTGAAAAAAAAACATGAACATCTCACCATCCAGGTCAGACTGAAGGGAAGTTGCTGCAGAATTGGGTGGATCAAACAGGGGCTCGTACCGACTCGTACCTCCAGTCCGAGACCTCCGGTCCAGTCTCGTCCGACCTCGTCAGTTCACGAACGTATGACCCGCTGCAGGTGCCAGGTCCGACCTCCTGAACGGAGTAATGATGGTTCCTGACCTCTTAGTGATGATGTGATCATCAGTGATCACAGTCAATGGCGGGATCCCACATCGCATCTGTTGCACGAAGCAAAACTACGTAGCATGCACAGGGCGACCAAAAGGCCTTTCCTTCGAGTCGTTGCGTTCTCCACACTCAGTTGCTCTGATTGGTACTTGCCGGACAATCCACCATTGGATCTCTGAGGAGCATGTTGGAGCCACAAAGCCCCAAAAGAGTCAACCTCCTTTGTCTTCGCACCCCAAAACCTCCGTGCATCCAGTCTGACCCAGGTCCAGTCTCCTGGTCGACTTGACCTCCTTAAGTATTGGTTTTCTATAACCATCCCCAGTATTTCATGAGATCAGTTCCTGACTTGTAGGGCTCGGTGCATCGAAAACACCTCCCAAAACACCCAGTACATCGGCTGCTCCGGCCCGGCTGGACGACTCGATCGTGCCACGCGCCTGGCAGGCGTTGACCGTCTGCAAGATCGCTACTTGTGAGAAATCCATCCTTCGGGCGCGAAGCGAAGGCGCTGAGCCGCTGGGTGCAAAGCGGCCGTTCTGGTGGATGGGGGAAGAGACAAATGCCCGAAAAAAGGTGTTGCAGGTGATCAGGACATACTAGCCAGGTTCAGGGTAGAATATTGAATACTATATGATCTATGAAGTTTTTAATTTTAAATTCTTTATATATAATCATGCTTGTTTTGGTCGGATGGAGCAAAAGTGGAACCCTGCACTAGAGCATCACCAACATTTACGTTGGCTAAAGACGTTGGTGGAAAAACATCTATTGTCCAAGCGGTTTGGTGGTTGTCTTGACGGGATCCCTGTAACCTCTTGTGAGTGATGAAAACGCCAGGCTCACAGCACTTGCAATGTCTACTCATCAAACACATCCAATAGATATGACATATTCATATAACATCATATGACTACAGTTTATATATACAACATCATATTGATCATTTATGCATGAGTAACTTCTGATGTGTTGAAACAGAAACGGATTTTGCCCAACGGTCTATTCAACGGTCTATAGGGAGTCGAGAAACCTCGATCCCTCCAAAGGAAGTGTGAAGAAAAACCCTGAGAGTCCGGTACATGACTCATGACTCATGAACTACCGAGGTTCTGGTAGTGGTGGAATGTGGTGGATGGATTGACCTACCAGGTGTAGTTCACATGTTCGTCCTGGTTCATGTCACGGAAGTTCTGGGCATCGCGATCGAACGGTCACCCTGTCCACAAACACCTCCGTCGGAGGGGGTGGTGGACCGGTCGACCGGTAGGTCACGGTAGGTCGGGTCGCGGCTCGGGGGGGTCCCTCCTCGCATCCACTGGATGGGACGGAAACACCACCCCGAGCTCTGTGACCACTGGACCATCGTGTTTTAATGGATGATGCATGTTTAGAGTTTAGACCAATACAATCATTGTTTTACTAAAGGATGTTACACTACAACACCAGGTCAACCATGTTTTAAATCGTCTTGGAAGCCTTGGGGTAGTTGTCGCGTGCCATGGCTGAGCCCCCGGAACGGAAGTTGTTTTTGGTTCCGTATCCCACAAGAGGTGGATCACCTGCAGGGAAAACGATGGAGAGTTCGGAACTTTGGGCATGGGGGATACCCCACTCAATTTTTTGGTGGAAAGTTCGGTTCACCACTTTACATCACTTTGTTCAGAAGGCCGGTTAGACCTGGTCTAGCCACTCAACCGCGTCAACAATAAAAATGTGTCCCTCCCTCGTCGGGGTCTCCTCTGTGCGATGGCCTCTTGAGATGTTTCCATCTGACGCTGCATGTTCTCTTCCATGGCATGGAGCTTCGTCATCACCTGCTCCTGACTTTGTGACCCGTTCACATGAGCGAGCTTCGTCACGCGACCTGGTCCTTCGTCCATCGTCCTTCAAATCGGCTGACCCATTGACCCCAGAAAACCCCCCAGTGATGACCCTAATGCAGCCTAAGTAATGCAAGGGACCCCTACTATTCCAAAGACCCATTCAATCAGCTCGGTTGACTTGGTTTGGTCGTCTCCAATCCCTAAAACGATGGCTGGGTCTTCACCTAAAGAGGTCAACCGGCGGTCACACACCGGACTTCGTCAGAACCCCGATCCATGAATCATGTCCAAGACGAACACGGCGGATGATCTTACGGAAGCTGAGAACGAGACACATGTTCTGGGCAATTTTGTGGACATGGATGTCAAACGTACCATGGCGCCATCACCCCAAACGAGTTCCGTGCCGAGTTCCGTGCGTAACCGAACGTGCCGTGCGGAAAACGGTTCAAAACCCTCTTCTCGCATCACATCGGGATCAACACCAGCCCGTTTCGTGTGTCAACTCCATGGTCCGTCAATGAGCTACGGAAGCGCACGGGAGTATAGCTCGTTTTCGGGCACGGGCGCGTGAGTGTGATGAAAACGCGTTCGCGCGGAACGGTGGTGTTCGTCGTTTCGGAGCTTCTCCTGGAACGGCAGCAAGACCTGGCGACGATGGACCGCACTGCACTGCGTGCGAGCAACTGGCCAAAGGGGCCTCGATCTTTGTATGGTATCTGAATCTTGCTATCCAGGAACCGAGAATTACTAGGAACATCTAAGAACATCAACATCTTCCACCAAGCCAGTCTCAGGTGCTTGGGTTGAAGTTGGAGTACGTACAAGGCCCGACTCTCCGGTTGGATGTTGCCTTCGTGGGGTCGACGGGTGCCATCGGGTGCCCATGCCTTCGTGGTCATGTCACTTCCAAAGCGCTGGGTCATTGCCCCATGAACAACATGGCTCTGACGTGTCCAGAATCACCACATACACCACCGGCTCCGTTCAGAATTCGACGATCTTTGGACACCAGATATTTCGACATGTGCATGAATGTTCCATGAACTTCATGAGCTGAGTTTATAGAACTTGAACCCTGGTTGCGTGGCTTGGATGTTCTTTTTGCTAAGTTTCATGGCGTTGAATCAGAAGGACCCGGTCGACCGGAGGACAGGGGTCCTTCAACCGGGCCGAGGACGGGTAGATCTTTCACGGCGGAGGACGACCGCCAATTGATCAGATCTCTTCGGATATCCTGATCTTTCTGCACGGCTTCACAGGGAGAATCAACCTTCCCCAAGAAGAGCTGAGCACCAGAGCTGCTGAGCAGCTGGGGATGTCTCTTTTTAGATAGGTTTCGGAGATGATTGAAACTAGTTTAAAATTGAGTGGCTGAGATTAACCTTCTAATTTCAACAATTTCGTGCCTGTCCTCAGATCTCTGGCCAAGGATTTTATATTTAGTAGGTTGAGCAATAAGGGTCTAAGAATATATCTGAGGACAGGCCAAGGAGGTCAATAAATATTTGACTGGTTGTTGGGGTTGGAGGCTTATGGTCAAGGTCAAAATCTTTGACTTCCAGCATTCCATGATCAGAGCTGTTTGGTGATCAGATCCAAAACTGATGTTCCGTCACGTGGCCTGGTGCATCATTGACGTGAAGACATGTTCCATGTCCTCGGTCATCATCATGCCTGACCGACCGACCGGCGCGACCGGCGGAACGGAGGAACCCCACGGTAGTGGTCGGCCAAGCAGAACAGAGCTTATTTGCGGAAGAACCTAGAGATGGTGTCCCGCTTGATTCATGGTTTCGTGACTCTCAGACGACTGTTAAGGGTAATTCATGTAGCATCCTTCTTAACAAGTTCATGCATGTTCATGCACCACTTCATTTGCCACAGAGTCGGGGATGATTTTGGGACGCAGCTACTTCACCTGAAACAGACTTCCCTGATGGTCGGAGACATCAAAACAAAGCTGGGCCATGCCCAACATGGACAACAGCACTCACTGTCGGTTCGGGCGCAGAAGAGGTCGGACTCCACGGTCGGTCGGCCAAAACACACCAACGGTCGGACTCCAGCTGTGCTGGAAACCGACCCAGCCAACCCTCCTTATGACCTCCAACGGCGCGCGTCAAAACCAAGCATGTAAAGAGAGGGCTCAGAATGCGGCGTGGCTCAGAATGCTTTGGTGCCCCTGCAGGGACCGGAAGAACGGGTTTTCCTCCGCGTTCGCCGGGACCCGTGGCGGACCCGTGGCCACCCCGTTCGCTCCGTGCCTGGCATCATGCGGCTGGGCTGTTCAGTGGCCGGAATTCCCGGCAGAGCCGCCATCAAGTTGTTGGTGGTCTTCCCAGAAACGTTGGTCATGCGGTCCTGAGCGGAGATCGACTCGTGGGTCTTCGAGAAAAGTTCCAAGTTCCAAAAGGTGAATTCTGGGACAAAACTGGTTATTTTTCGGAGTTCAAGGTCTGGGGCCATGAAACATCTGTCCAATCTGTTCTTGCAGGTCATTGATTGATGTTATGTTTTTTTTTTGCAGATTTATGCTACAAAATGATTGATGTTGTCTGTGATGCAACATGTAAACTCAGGTGCTTCTCGAACGCATGCCAAACCAAAGACCACTTTCTTGTGAATGAAATACATCATCGGTATTATGACTTCAGATAAAATCATCTGAGATACCAAACCGCCGTGATAGGGAGATAAAATAGAACAACGGTTACATACTTGGGCTTCGTCTTCTCCGTAGTAGTCAAGAGAGAACTAGAAAGACTATAGATGATGTTTTCCTCATACAAAAAAAGAAACGATGTGGAAGACTTCCAGGTTGCAAGGAAGACATATGAAGACATCTTCCGGTCCAAGGGTGTGTTCGTGGTCCAAAGAACACATACCAGGACCATCCTGTCTGGGTGTCCATTGGACTACGCTAGACTACTTAGGGATCTCCATTGGGCACCCATTGGATGGTCCTTGCATGTACCCAAGGATAGCGTTACAGCTTACTGATCATCAGAACATGCTCCGAAGACATCGTTCTTTCAAATGTCTGTTGTTTCATGGTTTCTATAAAAAGTGAAGCACATTCTGCCCATTTCAGGTGCAAAGATCACCTAGAACCTGGACCCTCCATGACTGAGCATCCTTCCTGATGCCATAATTCGTCTTGTTTCATTTCCATTCGCAGCTAGGTCAGTTCAGTGCGCCGCCTCCATTTAAAGTTAAGTTTCTTGAGCCCTCCTGATAGCATCCATCCAAAAATTAAAAGCTTCACTGTTCAAGCCTCAGGTCTAGATCAGCTGAGGCACTTTGTTGGCTTCCAACAGCTTCATAAAGGGATCTTCTTTCTCAATCAAGCCACCCTGGTCCTGCAAATTTGCGAGCTTGGTTTTTCACCGGGAGGGAAGCTGTACCAAGAGTTGACACCTCAGAAAATATCAAACAACACGTGTTGATATCTGTTAGTTGGGATGGGAGCCGAAGCATTCAAACGAAGCCCAAGGAAAGAAACACCACTTATTCCATGAGTTTGTTTGGCCAACATGTGTACCAGTTGGAAGCTTGTCACCAAGCTAACAAGCTTGGAACATATGGTTGGCTCTTGTGGTCTGTGACTGCGCGTATGTGTCTGCGCACGCATCGTTTGGGAGGTGAGACCTCGACCCGGGACCCGGGACCCAAGTATCCGACTTCAACATGGGGCACGACCTGCAAGGGTACGGTAAGTACCTATGTTTAGGGGTTGGTTGGCGTAGATAGATGGGTTTCGATCTGGGAATGAATTGAGTTCCCCAACTAGTGGCTTCTTGCAGTGAACGAAAACCCCGAGTCAACCCCCCCACGATTTCGGGAAGGACAGTGGTGGAAGGACAGCGGAAGGCCCGCAAAGTGCATCATGGAACACACCTATGGAACATGCACATGCACTAGTTCGGGTCTCGGTTCTCCTGAGTTGGACTTACTTGAGGAAACCGGGCATAAAATGGCACAAACGTGTGTTTTTCTCCGCCAACCCATGTTCTGCCTCGTGCAAAGATGAGGCGAGTCTTCTGGAAAGGTGGTTTGTAAACAAAAATGGTGAAAAACCATGGATCCAAGAGAAATTCATTCACTGAAAAAACCTCATGTTCATTCGTGGTGGTCCCACCTGTGCAGTCTCCCCACACATGGTCGTGGCCAAGAAGAGACACTCAAACCACCCTTTTCAAAGGACACAGGACTTTCGTGACCGAACTTAAGATCGGATTTGCGGTCACAAACAGGCCCGCAAAGGGTCATGAACAAAGAGTCCATTTTGCAGGTCACGAACTGAAGGTCTTGAAACCAACATAAGCCAACATGTCTAGGTTTTGTCTTGAGTCTTTGAGCCTTGAGCCCAAACCCATCGGGCCTTCTCGCTACCCAAGTCTTGAACTTCGGGGCCTTCGGGGAAAGACATAGAACATGATTGAACGGTTCTCCTGTCCCAAGTTCATCTTTTCCGAGGTCCAACGCTTCTGGCATGCCTCGATCAACCTCACCGCTGAGGAACATGACAGGGCATGCGAAGCTAAGGCCCAGCGGTCGTTCAAAATGCCTTCTCAGTGGGTGGTTTTCCAAGCCTGGTAACCAGTGGTTCCAAAGACTAAACCCGTAATGGGAAATCTAGGTTTTAAATTAGTTTCGTATTGGGGGGGTCCAGCTGGGATTGATTCATAGGGGGTGGTTACTTAATCCATATATGTCGACATTAATGGGAAATCCTACAACCAAAACCGACGGGGATCCACCGGGCCACATCCTGTTCACGACCTCGCGGGCCGTCGTTTTTCGTCGTGTGGAGCGGGATTCGCCCAGAAACACCTCATAGCGACGTAGACGAACCGAAACCCAGCCAATGGCGACTGTCTCAAACCCTGCAGCCATGGGCAACTTTGACATTCCAAATCCTTCTCCATCCATATCCCATTGGACCCCACATCCACCCCCCACCCATCCCCACCCATCCCCCTCCCACCCTCCGGTTCTGGTGCTCCATGCGGCACATAGGGCAAGTTCAGCTCCATGCAGCGTTCGCCGTTGAGCCGTTCCAGCACGGCGGTGTTCGTCACGCCGTTCTCCACCTCACCCGTCCATCGCATCGCATCACCGTCCCAGCGCACGCGTGACGGAAACGCGGAGGTGTGCCGGTTCATGACAGGTGAAGGGCCACTGGTGAAGGGCCGGTGGGGTTTGGAGTGGAGAGAAGGCCCCGAAGGCCCCCAAGACTTGGGTAGCGAGAAGGCCCGATGGGTTTGGGTTCAAGGCTCAAAGACTCAAGACAAAACCTAGACATGTTGGCTTATGTTGGTTTCAAGACCTTCAGTTCGTGACCTGCAAATGGACTCTTTGTTCATGACCCTTTGCAGGCCTGTTTGTGACCAAATTGGATCTTAAGTTCGGTCACTTTGGTCACTTTGAAAGTCCTGTGTCCTTTGAAAAGGGTGGTTTGAGTGTCTCTTCTAGGCCACGACCATGTGTGGGGAGACTGCACAGGTGGGACCACCACGAATGACCATGAGTTTTTTTGTTTCAGTCAATGGAAGTCCTCCACATGACGGAACTTCTCTTCCCTATGGATCCATAGGGGTTGGAATTGTCCTGCACCATCAGATGGTGCCAGGAACCCCAGACCCCCTCCGGTTCGGATGGTCCCAGTCGAAGCTGTGTGGAGCAAGCAAGCGAGCAAGCGAAAACGATCAGCACTGGACCCAGACGATCAGCTCGCGTACGGTGAGAATGGCCGGACTCCACAGTCCAGAAACACATATAAACCACACATGTGCTAAAATGACATATATATATATATGACATATAACATCATCATGTGCTAACATGTGGGTGTCTATATGGTCTATATAATACGCAAATGTCACACTCCCGACTCTATGTCACGCAAGCGATTACAATCCACCCGCGTTTCATCACAGCGATCTGGGCCACCATCAATCTGACCAGCCGGTCCGTGTGCGCACTCCTTGGTTGGTAAAGAGGCAGCCATGACTGGGGCCATGTACCCAACAAATAACTTTGTTCAGCTCAGTGCCTAGGAAATGGCCTAGCCATCTAAGCAGTGATGATGTACACCACTGGTTCCTTCACACATCTTCCCAATCTTCAGTGGCCCAAACATGTCCTGACATCGCCTCACCCTTGAAGAAACAACAACACCCACTTTTGCCAGACTCCAAAAACCACACGACCTGTCCGGCGGACCGACCGAAACATGAAACCACCGACCGGGTCCGACCATGTGGGAGATGGCGCGGGGGTGTTCCCCCGCGTCGGGAACTGCGGGTTCGTCAAGGTTCATGCCCAAGGTCACCATGGTCTCGGCCACAACTTCCACCATCTTCTCTTCACTCTCAGCCTCCTCACCTCATCTTCAGTGACTCACCCCGAAACGAACACAGCATTGGGATGCTGCACCAAACATTTGACCCATTCTAGAAACTTCCCAGTGACTGGTTCTTGAGATCCCAGTGGCTGAGGTCACCCAAAGGTCTGTGGTCGAGGCCACGACAAATATCCTGATTGTCCTGGTGAACGAGTTACTCAGGTCCTGGTGAATGGGCTTCTCGCCTGGTTGTTCAGGTGACTGATAAGTATGGCCCTCGGCCCTTTCCTCCTTCACTCACTTCATGGGAACGAAACGACGAGTTTTCCACGTCGTTCGGCGTGGGAACCACGCCAACCTGGAGTGCCAAGAGGCAAAGAGACTGATTCCTGAATGTTCCTGATACCAGACCTTGAGTGTAAAACTGTTTCCATCCCAACAAATCTGCCGGGTCAGTCCCAACATTTTGTATAGATGGAAGATCTTAAAATAAAATAGAACGGGAACCCACTGGCCTCTTCCAAGATCATTATATAAGCATCGGTTATAGAAAGAACAGCGAAAAAGGCCTCGGCCTCCCTGGAAAAGAACGGTTCATGTACTCTTGATGATAAGATCACCCCCTCCATATTGAATCAGGTTACTACAATGGGAGGGGATTGTATCATAATAATAAATCAAGAGTGTACACATGAACATGTTTTTCCTCCTGTTCAACTTGTGGGGACACCTCCCCAATCCCCTGCACTTCTCCTTCTGGCACCGTGAAGTAAGTCCTTTCGAGGACGTCTGCCCCAGAATCCTTAGACGTCCGACATTCATTCGACCAAGACACCAAAGCCCAAGCCGTACGCGGATGCCGCCACACCGCCTGAAAACAGTTTTTGTTGGGGGGGGCAGGTTGAGGGGTGAGATGGGTGTGTTTGGAACCCAAGGTTCATTTGGGTTGAAAGGAAGTCGTGTGTTGTTTTATTTGTTTTCCCATTTCATGGACATAAAGGTCGATATCTATTCAAATGGTTGGTAGACACCACCGGCGTTCAGGCTTGCAATTCCTGAAACTGCTGAGATCTCCCAGGCCGTCCTTGTTAAGCAGAGTTGTCCTTTCAAAAAATGCACGACTACATGGCACAATTTGCGGGAACAGCTTCAAACAACATGAGCTCTGTTCTCAGAACAGAAATTAACAAACGAGAGGGTCCCTTCGACCGACCAGAACTCAACCCCACATGACTTGGAGAGATCATTCAACCTGATGGTCAACACTGATCCATCCAGAAACAAACATTCAATAGTCTGCAACCCAGTCACCAAGCTGGCAGCTGTTGCTTTCACATAAGCACTAGTGAAGTTGAAACTCCTCGCACTATGAAAAAGAGCAAGGAAAAGCAACACCATCTTGGTGATTGGATCACGATAAGCTTTGTTTCTATGTTTGTTTTTCCAGCTGGACGCTCTTCGACTCTCCCACTTCTTCACAGCAATATTTTCACGTGCCTGCAGCAGACTTGACATGGCCATTGTTTTTCTGCTTCAGCTCATCCTCCCCAATCTCATCCTCAGCTGAAAACGGAGAGGCCTCCTCGCTTAAAGATCGACATCCCAGGCCTCTCCCTCCTTCTTCGATCGCGGGTGTTCGGTTGCCGGCCAGAGCTCGTGCGTTTCCGAAAAACCGCGAGCTGTTTGGTCGATCGATCCGACTGGTAGCTAATACCTTCTTGTTCCTAGTGACCATGCCAGTTTCGCCCCGTTCGTAGCATCCTTGCTCCGTTCGTAGTGATGCCAGTTTCACCCCGTTCGTAGCTTCTTGTTCCTGGTGGCGATGGCCTCCACCTAATAGCGTCCTTGCTCCTAGCGACAGCTTTGAGGAGTCCTTCCCGCATTCCCTACGAGTCACACAAGTCAGAGATCCACTCGTCTCATCTTCCCCGTAGGCCAAGACTCGGTTGGGGACAGGCCATAGAGTTCCCGCGCAGCTTCCAGCTTCCGCTGGTGGAGCATCTTCATACGCTGCATGAGGATGATGAAGGTGAATTTCGAAATCTTGGCACTCGATGCATGTCGGCAGGATGTTGGCTAGCAAGGAGGGGATCGAGGAGAGGATCTGAGGTGCAACCGGCGTGGAACGCAAGAGCAATTGTTGCAGAACTGGCTGATGTTCCCAAAAGAAATAGCTTCTCTTCCCCTCAGTTGGCTTAAAACCCGATGCAAGAAATCATCACCAACTCTCCCCTTCTAATATCTCTTAAGAATCTGGCTGGCGGCAGGAAAATGCAGATTCCTATGCGCCATTTGCAAATGGTTTTCTCTCTGGGGGAGGAAATAAAATTGACCCTGGCCTCACAGTGGCCTCATGTGTTGGAACACCGGTGGTTCAAACCGGTGGTTATCGGTATGCACCGGTGGTCACAGCCAGGGTGCTTCCTTCGGTCGTTTCCCGCAAGGAGTTAGGGATTGCATGGAGCCTATGTAGGTCTACTACAGTAATTGAGTATGAAACAAAAAACAGATAGATATACATGGTTTGCAAAGACCAACGTTAGTGGTCCCAACAAACACGTTGAGAAAAGAACATGGTTCAAAAACAAAACAAAACCGATCAAATACGGTTATATAACACTATACATACAATTATTACAAGAATAAAACAACTCTGAAGAACATGATTTGGATGCATGGAGGCAGTTCAAAACGGTGTGGTGAAGCGTCAGCGAAAGCAAAGGTAGCCCCCTCTTTTCTTGGTAACTTGATGTACCTTTCAAGATTCTACTCATCAGTCTGGTCTCTGCAGAAATGGCACCACTTTCATCTAGTTGTGGGTGTGAAGCTGCTTGACCATCACTGACTTGCACTTTAACCAAGTACGGAGGAAAACTAAAAATCCCACCCACCCACCCACCCACCCACCCGCTTTGTAAAGAAAACACACTCAAAGAACCGGCATTGCCTTGCACATCTTGCACAGTTCATGAATCCTGTGTGGCCGGCATGGTCCACTCGAGCAATTTTCACCGATGAGTTGCTTCAAATCTACTGTAATATAGCTTTCAACCCTGCTTTTACTGAACAACCATTGTTTTGGTACGGGTTTTACACTTCAAAAAGGGACTTCAAAAAAAGGTTTCAAGGTTCCCAAGCGGTTTCCGTAAGAACGTCTGACTCCTTGCAGACTCCGTCTCAACGGGACCCGACGTCATCAACGTTCACTGTTTCACACCCTTCTTCCCAAAGCCAACAAAAAACAGGGCCAAAAGCTTCCGTTTTTCGGTGCCTTCAACAGCCTCCTGTCGTCTCGACGACCAGAGTCAACTCCTCTCCCAAGAGGCAATGTTCAAGGCCACCCATCCCATCTCGATGACCAAATAGTCGGTAATCACTCCAAAGCCCTCAATACCTGCCACATCTAGTCGCATGATCCGCCAACCCGCAGCATCCGCCGATTTTCCGCGGATCACGCGCGTGTTTTTCGTTTTTTGGTTTATGTGTTTTGTTTGTTCCAGCGGTCTAGTTTGTCTCTTTCTTTGGAAGGCAAGGCTGCAGTGGCGAGATCATCAACGAACATCAAAAGGCTGACCAGTTGATGTTCATGTTGTATAGAGCAACATATCCGGTAACACAAGGTGGTCGCCCCGAGCCAAGAGCGCTCAAACGGGCTCAAGTCGACCGGGCCCAGGGATGGACCGGTCTTTTTCCGTAACCCGTAGCAGAATGCGAGACCGTAGGGACCCGCAGGGAGCTGAAGCCACAATGCAACCTTGGGAAACTCCTGAAACTTGGAGCATGGAAGTGTGGTTTACAAAAATGCTTCAAATACTCCCCTACAGAGGGCACTCTACATGGAACCCCAAAACCCACTGGTGTGGTTGTAAAGGAACAGGGTCGAAACCACCACGGGATTGCCTTCTCGGGGTCCATGGGATCGTGTGCGGGGGGATATGCTTGCTTGAGGAAGACCTAGAGTACCTAGCTACACCATGTCCATGTCGACAATGCTCTCTTTGCACTGAAATCAGCTCCATCCTAGAAACCAAACATGACCTCTGTCTAGATAGGAAAAGACCATATTTTGGCTCCAAAACAGGGGTCAATCAGGTTGGATGAAGACCCGGACTCGGGCACCAAAACCACCCGCATCCGAAGAAACCCCTTTCGCAGCTTCGGCGTCGCTCAGCTGGGTCTTCGGGCTCAAGCTGAACCAAATCGGAAACGGGAACCAAGTGAGGATCAGCAACAAGGAGAGCTTTCCTTGGTGCGACTCACTCATTCGATGGAACATCGTTATTGGAGAAAACACACCGAGGTGCAATGGAGGTAGGATGCGTGATCAACTAAATATCAACAGCCACTTTGTCATTTCAACTTCCGGGATGTTTACATGCTTTCACCATTGTCTAGTATGTTTGTTTTCTGGAAACTCACTTCTGTTAGCTCAAACAACGGCAGCCAAAAATACTGGGGTAGAGGTGGCAAGACCTCCAACGTTTTCGAGAAATTCGGGAATATTCGGGACAGCGCCCTCCTTTCCAATTTGTCGTGCAATGATTTCCGCCCGTATTCTGAGCTTGTCAATCCGAGTATAGTGGAACCCTCGCACAAAAGAATCACGTCGCGGCAGAACTAGACGCACGGGAGGTATGCTATCCAAGCTTGGCTAGACAAGGCCTGCCAAAGGTGGATAGAACGCTTCAACATGCTTCAACTAATACTTTGCTCCATGGGATCCTGGAACTAACTTTGGATTCGACACTCGTGAAGGATCGGTCTCGAATCCAGGCTCGATCTGATCGATCTTGCCATATCCCTTTTCCGGCCAGGAGATGGGCCCTTGATGGTCTTAGGTCCGCCGAAGTTTCGATCTCAGGTTCACCCCCCGAGCGATCCACCGGGTTCAGGTCTTGATTCTTGGAGCGATCCACCCACTTGGGCCAGACCGAGTACTTGTGACATGAAAATCTGGAGTACTTGTCCTACAGGTGGAGTGTACTTGGCCTACAGGGCTTTTCCAAGTGGAATCTTCTAACATCTAAAAACTGGCACTTGCCCTGACCTCACTTGACTGGAGTTGTCATACAAGTTCGCACTACGAAAAAGGAGGTCAGTAAATGACCAGGTTTGGAGCGGAGTCAGACTGGACTTGTAGGGTTGCTGTTGATCCACCAAATTCTGCAGCAACCTGGGCTGCTTGTAGGGTTACTTGTAGGGTCAGACTGGACTTGGGTTCATATATTATTGTTATATGTTATATGATATATTGCTTCATCCTCCTTTCCGGAGCCCTTCCTCACCCTCGAACCTCCATCCAGCTTCGTTTCTTCCCCCCTCGTCACCGAAAAAGGCGACCTCCCAAGGGGCGGAAGTCTGAATCGCCCATGAAGGCGTTCTCTTCGCCCTCGGAGTTCTCTCGGATCTGCAAGGCATTGTGGTAGAACATGATGCCGGCCAAGAGCAGACCGAATCCTAGAGGACCGAGGGATTGGGACTCCATGTTCCAGTCAGGACAGTGGCGAAGGGGTATGCGAGTCTGTTGGTCTGAGACATGGTCTGTTGGTCTGAGACAAGTGCGATGAAAAGCACAGTTCAACAGCCGCACGTCATCGCCAATAAAACCCATGAACAGCCCAAACATGATCCTATTGGTTCTAGGACTGGTAGTGCAGGTCGACTGTTTTTTAGATCGGCCGCGAACGGGATCTGGCGATTTGCCAGGATCCAATAGGTCCAATAGTCAAAGCACCAGTCTTGCATGATATCCACTCCCACCAAGAGGTTGATTCATGCAATGCCTCTCACTTAGCACCAGGTTTGCATCTCCTGACCGGAATCAAACGCGCCCTCGCTGGCCCCGTGAATAAGGCAGGGCGTCCATACCAGCCGTAGCGTAAGGCATCGCCAGTGAACATCGAAGCAGTACCACAAAGCAGCACGGCCACACTCAAGAGAGGCATCATGAAGCGACCTGGGGTAAGCTGGCAAGGCGCAGACCCAATTCTGCAGGGGTCAATTGTACAGGAGACAATGTTAGGATCCAGCAACTATATATATATATATATATATATGAGCGAGCTGGTACAAAAGCGGAACTGCATATGTTGGCATCACGTTTGGTTGTTCACTATAATGCTTGACTTTGTACCTTTTTTTCAGATGCCTGTGTCATCCTGTGTCAATTGTCTGCAGACTTTCTCTTGAAATCACAATGACACAAGTGAACTACACATGGATACGGGTAGAGAGCTGAGAGAGTATCATATTGACACAGCCTTTCCTTCTTCTTCGTATTCTTCTTCTTCTTTGCATGAGGCATCCTCCAAAAAGAAAAGGATCTCCGCTCATCTAAACAACATGTTGATCATCCCCGGGTATCGCTTAGGTCCTAGGTATCGCTTTATGCAAAGCAACACAGGCAACAATTAATATAAGAATTGAATCAACTGATCGAGGTATACCGAGGTATACCTTGTGAGGGTCTTGCTTTTGGTTGTTCACTCTATCGCTTTACAGGGCCCCCGCACGGTTATGCGAAAGTTCCTCTCACCATAAAGATTTGTGTACAGACCCGGGCGTTGCTCGTATGCATGTCTTTTGGGGTGACGAATCTGACTGGTCAAACCCCCAACCCCCCAGACCTCTCCTCACCGCTTCCACCACGGGGCGATAGCTGGGAACACGTGCACCGGCCAGCACCACCAACCTAGTGATGGAACGAGGGGAACTCGCGACGTTTCTCGGGAATTTCAGGCTCAAAGGCGAAAAAACAAAAACTGTAAAGAATTGAGAGAGCTGGCTTCCAATATGAAACCATATAGCATCATATAGCCAACATGAAGCCAACATATGGCTTCACAGGCCAACCTGGCTGACCTTCACCATCCAAAAAACCAACCATGTATAAACTATAAACCATTATAATGGCCATATTTGGCCATGCATGCCGGTCTTGGTTCTTCTTCGCTTTTCGTGGTCCAACGTTGGTGTCTGGGTGTGCTGGCTGGAGATCCCTAGGGTAGTCGACACCCAAACAGGATGGTCCTGGTACATGCAGCGTTTGGGGGTCGAGCGCAGAGCTCTGTGTGGAGGTCGACTCAGAAAGAGGAAGATACGCGGCATAATAATACTTTGGATCTTAAAACTGTGCCAAATGTCTGCCTTTTCATCTCTAAAGCAAGCCAAGTCCGGCAAACAGTTTGCATAGTTGAAAGAGATCTATACCAGCACCCTCCAATAGGTCACCACCTGCGACTTTTAAGTCTACAAAAGCCTCCTGTTGGAAGGTGGACCTCCAGACACCAAACACCTCGGAGAGTTACGCCGGGCCTGACGATGAACTCAAATGGCTGATTTGGGTTTGGACGCAGTTCAAATCCAGTGGACAATCACAGTGGAAAAAAAAACATTACAAATGACAAGATTCCCTTCTACCAGAAAAACACGAGAGGCAGTCTTTTTTCTAAGCGGCAACTCCTGAATGGAGAGGCCAACATTTGAGCCTCTTTGCTAAGAGGCTGTTAAGGGTATACAGTAAAAGTAATATAATAAGAATAATGTTATGTGCCCACATTGGGATGCTTGAAATGGAGTCTATGTACCAGGACCCAAGGTCGGGGTGGTTAAATAATGGACCTGAGTCACCTCTTTTGGGGGCTACAAATAGACCCCCCAATCCGTTGTATCTTCTGGATCTGACTTCGTTCGTCTGGGACATGGCCCGAACCCAACAACAGGACCATCCAAGGGGTGTCTCGACTACCCTACACTGCTATAGACTGGGTCTCCGTTTGCACCCGTCCATGTACCTTGGGAACTGGCCCTAGGACTCCAACCATATCCTCAGGTGGTTAGACCCCCCAAACCCACCCTAGCCATCTTCTCAGGAGGTGGGCCAGGAGCCCTAGGGTGGGCTACGTCGCACCGTTTTGACCACGAGGACCCGTGGCGAACGTGGACCCGTGGCGCGTCTGTCGATCCGAGGATCAGCAGGTGTTCACGACACTCGCAGTGAATCAGACTCTGTTCAAGTTGTGTGGTCTCCAGAACTGAGTGAGACAGAACCTGATTTGGACCTTGTCTGAAAAAGAGTTTTTTGGGCATAACCGATGGTCCAAAACCGACCATGGTTATGACCATATGGTTTTTGGATTGTTATATAGCCTCAACTCCGACCCGCTTCACGTCTGAACTCCATCTCCGGTTCTCCGGGCCGCCACCAGCCGAACCACATGGCTTTGAAACGGCCTGGCTATAGCCGGATCGGCTCATGTCTGCTTGGAAAACAAACGAACCTAGAAACAACATCTATTACACCTTATATATCCATATACCATGCCATAGAACTTGTTTCTCGCCACCTCCGGCTTTGCCACGTCCGGAAACAAAGGGCCGAAAGCCACGCCGAGGTGACGTAGTCACCTCACTTCTGGCCGGAAAACACCCAAATCCATGGACCAAAGACCTTCGTTTTCAGCCCAAAGACTTCAGCTGCATGATGGGGCATGTGGCGATCCACTCGATTGGTCTCGACAAGTTCAAGCTGAAGTTGTTCTCCTTGCAGCGGAGATGACCATTGGACCCTCCCGGGGTCGGGCCCCAAGCCTTCACCTTCGAAGGTCCTTGGTTCTTAGGGTTGTTTGTTTTGGGGGGGGGCTGCTCCAGGCAGTTGGGGAGAGAAATGGAGAGAAATGAGAAATGGAATGTTTGTGTTTGACCAGGATTCAGAACCAACCACTGTCGGCAACATGCAGCCCTGGTCGACTGGTCGCATCGATTGCTCCAAGAAGCGTTCAATCCAAACAGGCTGTATGACATGTCTAGTTGAGACCCCTAAACTACCAATATCTATTCTTTGAACTTAAACAACCAGCAGGAAAGTACAAAGGGGTGAAATATTCCCAAGATCTATAATAAGTGATTACATGTTGAATTGAATCTGGGATATGATATGCTGATGAGCTAAGTGAGCAGTGATGGGCTATGTGAGATTATGCATTGGTTTTGCTCAGTCTTCTTTGTCGATACCGTATACTTGAACTTGACCTTGGCCTGCAGGGGTTTATAGATCTTAATGGTCAATGTGCTGGCTTGGCAATTACATACTACAAATTCTAAGCAAAGGTTTAATTCAGCTCCACGGGAACTAGTTTAAAGCAACCAAACACCGATGAATTACGCTGTATCTTACAACAAACTCCCTAAGTGCAGCTGACTTTACGACACATTACGACACCAATTATGAATCCTCACTTGCAATCCCTAAGATTCCCACCACAACCATTTAATATTGACTTGATTGGTACACGTCTATTGAATACGGAGCTCTTTGAATGGTCGAACGGATGGCCACTAACACGAAGGACAAAGACACGAAGCACCAGGCTACGTCGTGCCATCGCTACAGGTCCCATCGACGACGCTTCAGGTCCCATCGAATACCAATTGACCAAGCACTGAAGGGTTGAAATGATATACCATCTGTGTATATATATATATACTGTGCATATATATATATATATATATCTTCGGTTTGCAGAAGGAAGTTGGAACACATCAAACATCACAAAACATCATACAATCCTATTCCCCAGAAGGGTATTTAACCATAGGGAAAAAAGAAAACAAATCACCTGATCTGTCTGTCACCAGGATGTACATGGGTTTTCCACGGACTGTCCTACCCACATGCAGTTGCCAGCGTGCTACTGGTGCTACGTACCTTCCTGGCTGGGCCCTGCTCCAAGTGACTCGGCCCGGAAGATCGAAGTCATCGATGGCCTGGGCGGTCAGCTCGGGTGCCCAGCACGTCGGGGTCGGCGCATCGTCCCGTCGGGCGCGATGCCGTTGAAACATGAAAGCGTCATGGCTCTGTAACGGTCATGGCTCCATGAACTGACATGGGTGTGACATGGCTCCATGGTCCCTTTCGGCCGTTGTTTTAGTCATGGAGTCGATGTTGCGTATTGGGTCCATGCTTCAATTTCTGGGTCTAGACTATGCCATGGCCTGGTTCGAAGCAGTTGTGACCGAACTTGATTCCAGAACCACTTGCTACTAGGAGCAAGGACGCTACTAGGGGCTCCTGGCCTTACTACTAGGAACAAGAAGCTACTAGGGGCTCCTATAGGGACCAAATGGAGCTCTGGAGACTTCGCATGAAACCTCATTCCTCATGACACGGTTCTGGCCGCCACTGACTGAGCTCTGTCAGGAGCTTTCTGCCACGGCATGTCCATCATGCAGCAATGATATGCAATGATGTATAAGGTGAGAAGACCCAAGCGGACGGAGACCCGAGCAGTTGACCTGTTTCTCTGGTCAAGACACGTCCCAATTTTCGGAACCACGGTCGCACCACGTCGCGGGAGATCTTTAGATGCCTCCCGCACCGGGCGGTGAAGTCGTTGGGTTGAACCCCTCCCGCACAAGATCTTCCTGCTCAAGGAGCCGAAGAACAACATGTTAGGCGATTCACCCTATAGGGATCGATAAACATACCAGCACCTTCCAACAGGTCCCCTCTGGAGACTTTTGTAGGCAAAGTTGAGGTGGTGACCGGAGGGTGCTGATAGGGATAATACAGGAAAAGGAAACCACGGGGAGAGCGCAGTTCTCGCGCAGTTCGGCAGGAGGCCGTGAGCTGCAGGATGTTGAAGAAACCCGAGAAGAGTGCCACCGCCGTACTGATCGTGGCCTCGGAATCAACGGTGGAGGAGTGGTTTTCACACATTGGGAATCATCAACGCTATACCCAGACGCTCCATGGGACTGCCATATGTGCCTACATTGATCCCTCAAACCACCCCTGGCCTGATCGGCATATATACCAGTCCCATGGAGCGTCTGGGTAGTGAACTACTCCACTGAGTATCCCTGGAAAAAAAACGGTTCTTGATCCTTTTCCATCCATACTTTGTGGGGAAACGATTTCCCCAAACAGGTTATCCACTGACTAGGCGGGTCGATGACTAGGCGGATGGCACCATCCCCAAGTTTGGTGGTTCACATTATGGACCCTCGGACTCATCGAACAAACATTAGGTGTTAGTGCGATCCACCGCGACCCTCCAGTCCGAAAATCCATGACACCTGTAAGGAAAGCTTACTGACAAAAACGCGTTGTAAATGGGTCAAACACAGGGTCAAGGTCGATTGCGAGCATGTCAAGCACATGCCTCAAAAACGTGGTTTGATTGATAAGTTGACATAAGTTGCATCTTCTACATCCGTCTACAATGTCTTGACACTGCCATGCATGGAACATGTACCTACAACATATGGGGCTAGTAGTTTCGGGGTGTTGTGTGGGTCTATTACAAGTTATAAGTCTATTGAAGTCCCCCGCATGTGTCTGGGATATCTACATATGGGTGCAACTGTAATATCGTGTATTTGAATAGGGAGATACTGTATGCTTTTGTCAATACTATGATATTCTTTCTTCCATGGGGGTCGTTGGTAGGTCACCGTGTATTCTACAATTAATACATACCCACGGTGAAATGGAGGTCCCTGCCGAGAGGCGCAAACCGCATGACGCTGCTCCAAGGGTGCCTTTTGGGCCACTGCTACTTTGGAGTTGTTGGCGAAAATCAACCACATCGCCTGCGAGTGCTGAAAAAAGGCTGCTGGAAAAGGACGTACTTGCTGCGGTCGACCGTCTTAGTCACTTCGCAGGGCCAAAGGGTTGTAACATGTTGATCTAACAAATGCTTTGATTTCACAGTCCAAGGAACATCTCTGAGGAATTCGAGGAGGAAGCGTCTAACAAGTTGAGCTCTGCTCTTCCAGCGCAACCTATTCACGGTCCAAAGATGCTGGCAGATCAGCTTCTCATTACTATAGTAGTAATGGCCTCCACCCTAGTAGCGATTCCAACCTACTAGCCTCTTGTTGAACATCATTTCAATTTCAACTAAATGACCCATTGGGTGCATGTCATCCGTCGACCCGTCCTCTCCCCATCAGATTCTCCTCAAGCCTGTCCTATCCCCTTCCCCAAGCCTTGACGACCTCTCCCCAATTGTGCGCCAAACGCGCGCCCGAAAGCAAACCCAAAGACCAAGTTACGACCTGGGACTGGGACTGGCATTCCCTGTCTCAGCTATGTGGTGTCTTTCTGGTGGTCTTTCCAGGTCGATCATGGTCCATCGGCATCTCGACACGTCGTGGTCGTTGACGGTCGCGCAAATGCTCAGCCAGGCACCAAGAAGATGAAGGCCGCGCCCTGGATGATCTGCGCAATGTTGTGCGCATCCTCAAGGTCCACCTGTTTTCGACTCGAGGGAGTCGAGAAGGCGCATCCATGGGCGGCGAGGGAGAGTCGCGGCGAGGGAGTCCGGATGGGCGAGGATTTGGGGGAAGGAGGGACCCATGAAATGATGAAGTGCAGTAGAGTCTCAAGGGATTGAGTAGTTCATATCTCCGACCTGCAAAGCGACCTCAGCCTGGAGCCTCTGTACTCTGTGACCTAATAAAAAGGCCTGTTCGCGACCTCATCCTGGGATCTCATGGGATCTCAAGAGGCAAGCCACTTTGAAGATCCTTAGCATGTTTTATCTCTATTCGTCTCTCTGACACAGCTTTCCGCACCAAAACGGTCGAACTGCGCCGTGTTCCGCGGCGGAACATCTCTTTCGATCGAGATGTGCCATGACTAGCCACGCCAAGAGCAAAACCGCCTGACCCTGACAATCATCAACCTCCAACGCTGAAACGCAGGGGACTGCAATCCTTAACCGAGATCCATATAGCTCGCTGCGCAAAAGAAGACAAAAGCGCCCACCCCGAGTTACGTTGGGACGACCCCCGGGTACGCGACACGCGCCTTGCCCACGTCGGGGCAGCCACTCAAATCCGTGGTCTGCAAACGTCTGAGGTTGCCGAGAACCTCGGGCTGCCGCGATGAGCAAGGAGAGGTGCTGACCGAACGTGAGCTGCGTTGTTCGGTCTCCAAAAGCTGGGCGACGTCGAAGGTTTAGGGTTTAGGGTCTAGAGAGGCTTTCCGCTGGATCCGTGCACATGCAAGAGCTTACCTGGTTGGGGTGCCCCAAAAAGGCCTGGTGAGCAGTGAAGACAGTCCTGCTATGCTGGCAGGGGTCCTGATCCAAGCTGCCATACAAGCGAGACTAAGTCGAAACACCCTCTAGGGGTGTGTATAAGTCGTTGCTTGGCAAAGTGAGATGTTGGAGTCTTTTTTCAAGAGCTCAGAATCAGATCCCTCCAAAATCCATCGAACTGCTCGGCTTTACTTGGCGTTGTAATCATCCTATCAGCAGCTTCTTATAGGGGTGCCGAACTTGGAGGATAGAGGATGATAGAGGTGCCGAACTGGGGTACCCCTGTCACATCCACTCACTGGATGGGACAAAGAAAACATATACCTAGAACCTGGACATGACCCCTGTTTTGGATCCAAAACATTGTCTTTTCCTATCAAAACAGAGGTCATGTCTGGTATATATATATATCATATAAATGGGTTCAAGCCTATTTTTAACATGTGCTTGGAAGCCTATGGGTATAGGTATATATTATATATATAAGCTTTTGAAACTGCTGGTAGGAGGAACATGCTCGCTGCGACGTGACCTTCGATGCCAATCGACTCCCCGGCCCTGCCACCGAGGTCTAAAGCCAGGCCACGTTTCCCAAACACTCCATGTATGGAGACGCGTCCCCCTGGACCCCCGTTTCAACCACTCCTCAATGTAGTTAAATCTGCCGATCCGGTTGTGTGTAGGCTTTGAGTTGAAACGCTACAAAAACCGCTGCTGGCCATTCCTGGGGTGTAGTAAGGCCTTCGTCCGTGGCCCGCCATTCCCGTCCCGCTCAAGAGGCATCTTGGATGGTCGACAAGGCATGGGAGATCTCGGTGTTCACTGTCATGGTCTGTGCGAGAATTGAGTGTCTTTGCCTCAGCACCAAGCTCCACAATACAGCGGCACCCTGAAAAGTTTGGCATCCCCCAAAACATCCAAAAACGATGCAAAGGAATGGCATGGACATGTCCTCGGAACGATTCGCCAAGGGTGCAGGAGCATCCCCAGTTTGGCTAGCCTCAAGAAATACCCAAGGCCTTTCCTTCTATACCTGGACACCGATTTGCAACCCAGTTTGTTGGGCTGAACTGCAACAACCCAGGTGAACCGGACTCTCACAACCTCAGTAGAATCAGTAGAATTTGCATGAGAGGTTCACAAAAGCAACATGAGACCGATTTCAAACATCTGGGATGCAGTGGTGCCCGAAACCAGCTTTGAAAACGTCTCCGAGGCGCGTACAGGGAAAGGCACTGACCGTGTTCCAAGAACGTCGAGAAAAAAAATCGTTTGCAGGGTTTGAGCCACAAATGCTCACAGCAATGGGTGACCTTGAATCTGGAATGTGCAGCACAGCGGCGAAACCTGCTGTCTCGGGCACCTGCACCTTTGGTTGTACCTATATAGAAATGGGAACATCATCTTTCAAGCCTTGGTTTTGGGGCCATGATTCTTCGAGGGAGTGTATCTAAAACCAAGGAGCTCTCAGGTTCAGTCATGAGTTGCATCTCCACTGGGAAAAAAACTTAAACGCACATACAAAGTACAGAACCACATCAAGTTTACGTTGGAGTGGTTTCAGGGGTCAATGTGTATATTATATATATATTCCGAATTATATTCCATATATAAAGTGTCTGGGTGCTGTTCCATTCTAAGCGAAGAGCTTCGCGAGTCCAGGGCCCAAGGATTCTCAACAACCACCAAAAAGGACAAAAAGTTTAAAACAAAATCTGGACACAATGGTAAACACCACATACAACATACTATAACAACCAATAAACTCTTCTTAACCCGGTCGGTTCCACCGACCTCATGGCCATCTTCGGTCTACTCTCACAAGCTCCGGGTCGGGGATCGAACGGCCAACGAAGGAGAGACGCAGGTCCCAAAACGAGATGGGATGCACCAGTTAAATGGGTTCCATCCTTTTGGCAGTCACTGAAAGATCATGGTTTTAAATCTAGTCGACTGGACTTCTTAGGGCTAGTCGAAAATGCCTAGGCCTTCCAACGATGCAAAGTGATCAACACGTGGCTGGTTGATGAAAAGGGATTGAAGAAACAAACACAAACATGTTGCACAACTTGGAACATCTACGGTACAAAACGAGCTCCGCCGATACCCGTCTTCCATCCCTTATTCTCGGGGTCCCTTCTCAGGTCCGCCGCCCGATCGACTTCGTCATCACCGAGGCGACTTCGCCGGGTTGAAGGGAGTTTCCCACTGAGGACGGAGGACGAGCTGTGTATCTCTATCAGGACGGGAGGTATGAAGGAAGGTGATCAACAACGAATCCCAACACACTCCCAACAAAATTCGACTGGAATGGAATTGATATTAATATTTTATATGCATCAATGCCACTGACTCGGACCTCTAAAACCGGTGAGCCTGACTAGGATCGGAAGTCGGTCGTAGCACGACCGAGCAGCGTTCGCACTGTTTCACCCGACGACTGGGGGGGGTCTCCGTCGTCTTAACATGTCCTGAGAAACGTTGGGAACTGACCTCCCCTAAGGATCCAAGTACCCTCTGAGAAGGTGTTTGGGGTGGGTTTGGAGGGGCCAAGTACCTTTTGAGGGGGTACTTGGATCCCTAGGGCTCATGAAGATCTGAAGTCTGTCATAGTCTGTGAACTGGACCGAATTTCAGGAGGTTTTGCTGAGGTTTTGCTGAGTCGACTGGACTTGGAGGGTGTCACTGCATGTCCAAAAAGGAATCGAAAAAAAAAACAGAAGCATTTGTAAGTCGTTGGCGGTTCTGGGGCGTTACGGTTTGTCTATAAACCTTCCCTCTGACATCCTTATGGAAGTGGATGGCAGGATCCCTGGGAAAACCATGAAATCCTCTACAACCGGAGGATGGAGCCATCCACGAAAACCCTGTTTGTTGGAGGGAGGGTTTGTGAAGTTTTGAACATTATCTTGAAATCAGAGTTTTTGAGCGGATGCTCATGGTCCTGTTGATGAGGAAGAATCCTGCACATGGATCCCCAGAAACCCAGTTTGGCGCTGGACGTCCAAAATCCCTTGACTCCAGTGGTACTTCCATGTGGTCCTGTGTGACAAATCTCTGGAGTAATGTACGCTGGCTTCTCCACACTCGCATGATGGTCCACACCTCAGCCATTCCGCTCGGCCGGGCTTTCCACCAGAGTCATGTGCAGCTGAGTTCGGCCAGCGCGGTGGATGGGACTCTTGGGGGACCCCCTGGTTGACCAGCTGAACCGATTCCTCGATTTCAGGAAGGTCACAAGGTCCCAGCTTCTTGAGTTCGTGACCGTTGGTGACCGGTTCCTATATGACCCTGTTGGAGGCGAAGGAGTGACCGAACCAACCAGGTGATCAAGTTCGGTCACGCACTGAAGAACCAGGATCGTTCCATAGTTTGGTCATTGGAAGAGGTGCCATGACTGGCGCCATACTCCTCAGAAACGGCAGACCGGGGTGGTTGATGAATGGGGCAGAATGGACGACCCCTACATGGAGCGTCCGGGCTGTGTTTCCGTGACACCATTGAAATAGGGTGGGGTTGACGAAATGAAATGAAGCTCCTGGGCTATTCTCCAACTCACATGCTCCCAAAAGCTTGCACAAGCCCCTTGTGCCTGAAGAATGCTCCTTCCACTGCTCAGCTGAAACTTTGGTGACAATTACTATGTCCCTAAGGATCCAAGTACCCTCTGAGAAGGTGTTTGGGGTGGGTTTGGAGGGGCCAAGTACCTTTTGAGGGGGTACGACTGGATCCCTAGGGTGTAAATTGATCTTCTGCCTCACCTGATTCGTTTTGGGATTTTCAGCGTCACTCATTGCGGCCGTTCTTCCAAAACGGCGGCAGAATGACCGTCGTTCGGAATTGGCTTGCTTTCTCTTCAAATGAGCAAACAATGAGACCCACCTCTGTGACACTAGGGGTAAAACGATCAACCCATGTAGCAAACACACATAAACATACCCACTATAGGTGTTCTGAATATTTTTTGGTCTTAAAGTACACACCTCGATGATTCTGTGCATGTTAATTCTGCCATCCTCACTTTCCATGGGACAATGGAGCGTTGTGCGGTGTCCCCAAGGACGCTCGGACGCTCGGACCGGTCAACCGACCTCCGTGTCACCGTGTCACCGTTGGCTGAAAAAGACGAAGGCCGAACTCTCTGGTTTTGGACCCGGACCAGGTTTTGGGACCCTGACCGCAAAGAACGAAGGCCGAACTCGGCGTGCAGGTCTGGTACACTATGGGAGGGTTGATTGACTGGTTTGCTCTCACACACGTGAGTGTTTTCTTCTCATGGAACTTGAAGCAACCAATATGTGACATGACGATGTAATGATTGCTATAATTAATTGATTCTGTGGTTCTTCGTTGATCATGTCAGTTGTGTGACCATGTGTGATCCATGTCCTTTATTTATTGCATCTGTTCTTCGAACTTCTCGAACACTCTCATCTTTCCTATACATTCCCCAGGGATCCTGTCCCACATCCTCAGAAGGTAGGGACAACCCCTCCTGGCATTCACCCCAAACATACCCCAACGAAAAGGAAGTAGTTGGAGTAGTTGGAAGTATCGAAGCTACCAGCTTCTTCACTTCATGACCTTTGTGGGGTCCCATCCAGTGACCGATCTGGTCGATCGGCCAGCTTCTTCAGTTCATTCATGACCTTATTGGAGTGGTCGCGAATGGAAGAACCAGGAAATCATCTGTCGCCTGAAAATAAAAACGCTTTCTTTTGTCACTACGTCCACTGGAACATCTCCAATCACTCTCTCAACCTCCAAGCGCTCAAAAATGGTTTCGGTTCCAATGCCCTATCTCATCACTCTCCCACCCAGTGCTCGTGTCCTGGAGACCTTCCGCTCCATCGCAGACCCACCGCCACACCGCCCACCGAGGCGCAGGGACTCTTCACCGCAGTGGCGCTGTATCTGTCCGCCGGTGGTTGGAACCGAGAGACGGTCCGTCCGCGGGTGTTCGTGGTGAAATAGAAACAAGTATAGTCCATGGTTCTTCAAAGTGACCGAACTTGATCACCTGGTTGCTTCGGTCACTTTATAAGCCTCCTGTTTGGGTCACAGACTTAGGAACCTTCAATATGTTTAAACCTAGGTGTCTATGGCAGTCTCATGGAGCCGATCAGGACAGGTGTCCTCCGCGGTGGACGCGACGTTTGGGTTTGAGCGCGGAGCCGCGATAGGAGCCTAAGGTTCATGCACTCTTCGATCTTGGCTTCCAGGTCGTCAGCTGTAAAAGCGTCCACGAGGCACAAGATACCTAGGAGGACCAGGCCAAAAGCCTGGTTTGGTCGATGATTTCACTCCTTCTTTGGAAGGAATACAGGCACCACGAGGCAACAGGTAACACCAGGATTTACTAGGCTGGAAAACCAAGTCATACCTTTTTTGGGTCAAATGGCCTTTACCCTGTGTTCAGTTGTTACGGTTTTGATTACTATATCTGGAGCCACTTGTGTGAGAGTTGCTACGTTTTTTTACATGTTCTGTTCAACAACATGTTGAAAACATACCGTTTTGCTACGGGTAGGCTTGCCTGCCATACTCTTTTGATTTGACCATCTTTTTGGGTCATTCTGGTGCAACCAGCAATTGGACAACAAAACCACACGTTTTGTGTTTCCTCATCACAAAGACCAAAACATTTTGGGCATTTGGCTTTCCAGGAGAATATACCAGGTACTATATCCAACAGGATTCATTAAACAAGACGGCTCCGTGAATCTACAAGCGCCATTTGATGTGCCAAAAAAACACCAAGCTGTGAAGAGAAAACCATCTCCCTAGGGCTCCAAGGACCTTCTTTTCCAAGGTGTTTGGGGTGGGTTTGGAGGGTCCAAACACCTTCTGGGGAGGTACTTGGAGCCCTATAGGGTCTGGTACTCCAGTCAGGTCCTATCAGTCGGATCTCCCATCTCCCTGCGGGGTGACCTCCCGGTTTTCCCCTCGCTGTCGCGAGACAGCGGTGGAGGTGGAGGAACCTCCCCCCCAGGATTCGCCCAGACACGCTTGATGGCTCGGTATTCATACTTCAAGTCCTGGCCACGCCCAGTTTATCGAAGAAAAAACACCACACGGGGACAAAACAACAGGAAGGCAGTTTTGGAACCGCAAGTTCACTGGTGCATGAAAAGGGAGGGTGTATAACACCTATATTGGTTTGTGGATGGTTGTGGACCCATATCGGAAATTCCATGAATCCTAACAAACACACAAAATCAAACCTCGAAGGGCTGGGTGTCCATCAACGCTCCCCGTCTGTAGGTCATGGAAAAATTGTGTGTTCAATACTCG